TAAATTTTTTGAATATTTCGAAAATATTTGTGAATTTTATAATTAGTTATCCAATTATCTTTTTCAAAAAATATCAGCACATCAAACATAATAAAACATTTACTTGACAAACATGACTTATCATATAAAGAAGAAATATCTAAACAAAATTAAAGTTATTTTTCAAACCCATTGTAAAAGATACAATTGACCCTATTTAAAAAAAATGGATTCTGGTAAGGAATTATCTCATGTGCTGCAAGGATTTAATGCCATTCTTCTATAAATAATACTGGAATGCAAGATTTTTTAAAGGTTATTTGTAAAATCATTATAGTTTTTTATAGGGCAATCTTAATTTTTTATTAATATATTTAATTATTTTATAATAGAGTATTTAAATAAAACTGATTTCATCCCACATTTAGAATTTTTTATGGCATATTTTTATTATTAGCTTTTTATTATGTATAAATATGGCATTATTTCAGATACAAAAGATTTACCAGATAGAACAACACTTAGCAGGAGTGGATTATATGATATGTATTTATCAATGAAAGCATACATATGTTAACAAATTAATATAGGTCCTAAATTTTGGGCTATAACTTTTTATATGTGGACCGACAAATATTTCACGAAATAGACAATAATTTTAATATTGTATTTACATTGGCGATACATCATGTCACTCAAAAACATACCGCTGAAACTATTCTTTCCGAGATAGGAAAAGTTGAAAATGAATTTGATTTAGAGTCAAAGAAAATTCAAATGTTTACGTATGCAGAATTTAAAGAAAAGGGTTCGTCTAGGAGAATATGACCATCATCTATGTTTGGGTCATGGATTACATAATATAGTGACAGTCGATGGAATAAAAAAAGTTAATAAAATAGAAAATCTTATTAAAAAAGTAAGAGAAGTTATAGTTGTCTTAAGATTAAAAACAGCAGATTTTGAAAACGATATCGAAAATATAAACGATATCTAAAATATAAACGATATCGAAAATATAAACGATATCGAAAATATAAACGATATCGAAAATATAAACGATATCGAAAATATAAACGATCGATTTCGAAAATAGAAAATTTGAATCGATATCATATATACATCGGATATTTTAGATTTGGATGATAATGAACCCTTTTATGAAGATCGTTTGGGGTTTGATGTTGATAGTGCAAATCAAAAACATAAAACCTTAAAAATTAAATGTGTCTACACGTTGGCATAGTATTTAATAATACTGGAAAGGTGACTGGCAATAACAAAAATCCTATAAATATTCTATTAAATAGAATGGAGAAACCGGATCTAAAATTATTTAACTCCGATTGGGACTTGGTGCATGAACTTTTAAATTTTCTTAAAACCTTCAAAAAAACTATTGAATTTTTATCGGTCCATAAAGGAGTTACTATAAATTTATCCTTATTTCTTGGTGAAATTAAAAATCATTTAATTATAAAAGAATATGATAATCCTCCCATAGAATCCCTTAAACAAAATATTTGCTAAATTTGATCATAGATTCTTAATAACCGATCTTCAGGTAATATTTTAAAATACATAAATTATTTTTTTTATATTATTTCTCTTTGTTTATTTTTTTACTTAAATGTTAGGAGCACTTTTGGATCCTCGTTTTCAATCTATAAACATAGTAAATGAAATTTAAAGTAAAAAATATATTACTCCGGTGTAATTTTTATGTCACTACCTCTCTACGGTCTTACACGGATGAATTAACCGAATGTGAAACGATGGACGTTGTTTCAAAATTCGATTATCTCAAGTCATTTGCTACAAAACATTCATCTATTCATAAGAATAACCTGGAACAACAAGACTATTTAACTAGTTTAGAAAAAGAGTGTTATACATTATTTTCGCCTTATAATTTAGAGATAAAAGATGTCTTAGATTTTTGGAAGATAAGAGCTTGGATCTTCCTAAACTTTAAATATTAGCTAGAAAGATCATGCGCGATCCAGCTACAAGCACACCCAGCGGGCGTATATTTTCCATAGGTGGGCTCACTCTAGACTCTAAAGGATCATTATTATGTCCTATAAATCTAAATAAAATAATATTTATACACAATAATTATAACTTAATAACTTAATAAAATCATTAAATTATAGTTATAAACGTAATAAAGCATAAATTTTATTTTAAAAGTGTCTCCAATGAATTTATAATTTTAATTTAAAAAATTTAAGTTAGAAAAATATTTGACGCCGCTCCGCCTCCGATTTTTGTGGCGGCGTCTAAATCGATTCGCCGCCACCAGCCGATTATTTAAAAAAACGCCGCCGCCAAAAATGCTCGGCGCACATGTCTACTTTAGACCTATATTTTTACAGGGTAATTCGGATTATCAAACATTTAATGATATTCTCCCACCTAAAATCATTTTTTTAAATAAATCGAACACCCATTAATAATTTAAGTAGTGACGGAGAATTGGGGATGGTATCTGCCTTGCGTAGAAATAATTAAAAGGAAATTTAATACATTTTTAAACTAATAAAGAAAGAATTGAAAAAAAATTAGAAACATAATTATAAATTTTATTTTCAATAAAGATGGAATATTATTTTCATTAACCGATGAAATCTTTTAAAAAAATATTGATAATTTAAAACAATTTTGCTTAAATAAAAATTATACAAAATTTGGAAATTATTTAGATAATCATTTAATAGATAAATTATATAATATGGAACATTTACCTAAAATAAAATAAATTTATCACCCTACATCAACAATAATTGTGAAAGTATACATGTACTAAAAAATTTGATTGGAAAAATAATATAATGATAAATAAAATAAATGATATTATTTTGATAGACTTCGAAAGAGTCATATGTGGGTTGGACCCTTATATCTAACAAAGGCATTAGATATATCATGCATCATAGCTGGGCTGAGATGACAAATGCTGAACATAAGGCAATTTTGTTGAAAATACTAAAAGAAAATAGTAATGGAAATAATAACATCAACATGTGGTCAATTAGCTATAGTGAAACCTTTAGGATCAGAAACCTAATCAAGTCAAAAGAGCCAAAGCGGAGTACGAAAACAATAAGGCCATAGAACTATTTATTTTATTATAAATATTTAATTGCCAACAATTAATACACCCAGTAATTAACTAAATAATTTTCCCTATATTAATAAATATTAATATATATTTTTAACAATTGTCGATCTTCCTGGCTTTTACAAATAATTCATATTTTAAGATTAATTGTATGTAAGAAAGAAACCTTCTTATCTTGTTATGGAATTTATAATGAGTTTCTATTTATCTTAAATATCTTTATAAAATTATTTGTGGAATATTGCTATTTCTAATTGGTTTAAACATTTTATCATTATTTATTATCATATCTTTATTTAACATTTATGGCGAACGTCTTTTTTAAATAAAAACCCTAAGGTTTTTATTAAGACCAATGAATATCCAAACCAAAGGCTTTTTTTAGGACCCCTAAATTTTAATTGAAGTAAACTAGTTTACCTATTCAATAACAATTTTAAATTATTGTGTTTATTTTAAATGAGTCAAAAATAAAATACAATTTATGCAGTCTAAAAAAATAAGTAAACTGAGATTGAACATTATAACTCTAAAAATAATATAGGATACTTCTATTTTTTTTCTTTATATGTTTATATATACACAAAATGAGTTTAAAAAAATAATTTTTGTAAAACCCAAAAATGAAAAAAAATGACTAAACTGAGAATGAACATCATAACTTCAATTTAAGAGGAAATCATGAATCCGGGTAAATTGCTAAAATTATGATCGATTCGTGGGTCCTCGATCTTTTAATCTCGATTCTAGAACAACTCTGAAATTTATTATAATAAATCAAGGTTAATATTTACTTATCTTTAGATTTCCCAGGAATTCCTGCTTCAATCAAGATTCCCAAATTATTTTGGAGCAATAAATGGCAAACATATTGTCAAGAACCCTCCCAATTTTATAACTTTATATATAGATATAAAGAACTGTAATGTATTTTAATAAATTGATTTTTTTTATATTGGCAAAGCGACAATTTATTTACAATTTATAAAAATTGTAAAACATATATATATATATATATATTAACAGTTGATAATAAATTATTCTGATACATTTCCATTTCATTTCATTTGGCGACGATTTATTTTTCAGCCATTTTTGACGACGACGAATTATTTAAAATAAAAAGATTAAAATTATAACATGCCTTTGAAGAAGATTGAAGAACATACTCAATTTCATATTCCAGAATTTGTCAAAGAAAAAGTTAATATTCAGGATTACCTATATAATTTAGAACTCATTTTCAAAGTAAAAAATATTTTCGATGAAAATAAAAAAAAAGATTTTTTATTGGCCTATATAGGCAGAGAAAATCTAGTTAAAATAAAAAATTATTATTTTCCAAATAATTTGAATAATATAAATTATTTAACTTTACTCGAGAATTTAGAAAAAATTTTTAAGGATGTCTCGAGTATTTTTCTTTATAGGTTTTTACATTAAAAAGAAATAACGAAAGTATAATTGACTTTTCAATTAAATTAAAAAGCATTTGCTCTTTATGCAATTTTAAATCGCCGGTTGATGAACTCTTAAGAGATATTTTCATCTTAGGAGTAGGGTTACCTGAGCTGGACAAAGAACTTCGGTCAAAATATGCCGAAGGAAATATTACTTTTGAAGATACTGTACGTCTATTGCGTTGTCTTCATTGGAGATGGAAACCCTGGCAGAATTTAATTAAATAATTAAACGTTAGCCTATGCAAGGTTCCAAAAATACTTATTTTAGGAATAATTATAACAACGTAAACAAATTCGATAATAATAATTATAATTATAATGCTAACAAACTCAACCATAATTTTTATAAACCAAGTTTTAAACCTAATTTCAGCCAAAAAAAAGTAATATGTTTTAGGTGCGGAAAAGCAAACCACATAGCAAAAGAGTGTAGAATGATTTTACCACGCACACCTCGCCTGTCTTTTGCTAATAAAGTTACAATCGATGCAAAGATAAATGGGCTGCAGCTTACTATGGAATTCAATACTGGCGCGGCGTGTAGTGTAATAGACGAGGTTACCTGTAGTCGCATAGGCAAACCAACATTATCACTTGCTTATAAACTAGTAGGATATAACCATATCAAAATCGAAGTATTGGGTAAATGTTTCGTGAAAATCGAAGTAAAAAATATTGGGTAGTTAAGGGTGAGAATTCTCTCATTTTTGGAATTCCCTTTCTTATAGAATTTGATATAAAACTTCCTGAAGAAGTTTGTATTAATTATATAAATATGAAAGATTCCAGTTTAATTACAATTGTTTCAAAATTTCCGCAAGTTTTTAAAAAAAAATTAGGACAAATAAAATTACAGGAAGCCGTCATAAAGATACAACCAAATATAGTGCCAATTGCGTTGTCATCTAGAAGAATTCCATTTCCGTTGCGTCGAACCGTTGAAGCTGAGTTGGTCAGACTTTTAAATGAAGGCGTTATCGAGAAGGTAGATCCAACAAAGACTCCAATTACTTGGGCTACGCCAACGGTTAATATTTTAAAGAAATCCGGTGCCGTGCGGATATGCGGAGATTTTTGTTTAACAATCAACAAATATTTCGCGATAGATAACGATTTACTACCAACTTTCGTCGACCTGACAAATAGGATCCCGGGTGGTAAAATATTTTCAACGATAGATTTAAGAGATGCATTTTTACAATTCGGAGTTAGTCCAGAATGTAGAGACCTTTTAGTAATTTCGACTCATGTCGGTTATTACCGATATAAAAGAAGGGTTGACTAGCGCTCCGATAATATTTCAACGCTTTATGCAAAACCTATTAAAGGGAATTCCTATGGTTAGTGTATTTTTAGACGATGTAATTATTGCAGGCGGAATAATTTTGATCATATGGTTAATCTAGAAGAAGTATTAAGAAGATTTGATAAGGCTGGACTGAAAACGACGACCGATAAAATTAAAATTGGAGAAAAGTCAATTACTTATTTAGGTCATGTTATTCACCCGACCGAAGATAAGATTAATGCTATAAAAAATTGTAAAACACCATCTAATGTTAAAGAATTACGTTCGTTTTTGGGAATGGTAAATTATCATGAATCGTTTATTAAAAATTTACATTCTATTTGTGCACCTTTACACCGACTAAGGAGCAAAAATGTAAGTTGGTTTTGGTCAGCTAAAGAAGTTTAAATATTTAATATAGTAAAAAAATATTATCAAAAGAAGATACAATAATTCCTTATTCAGCCGATATTCCTGTCGTGATTTCTTGTGACGCTTCCGAAGATGGTCTAGGAGCTGTTATTGCACACCGATTTCTTACTGGCCAGGAGAAACCGATTGCTTACGCATCGAGGACACTTTCGGCAGCTGAAAAAAAATTACGCCACTATTGATCGGGAGGCTTCGGCGATCATATTCGCCATCGAGAAGTTTCATCAGTATATTTATGGAAGACATTTTATTTTGGTTACTGATCATAAACCTTTAAAATTTATCTTAGGTGATAAAAGAGACCTAAATAAGATAACAAATAACCGTTTAATACGGTGGGCCACGAAGCTTTTAAATTACGATGATTAGATAATTCATAAGCCGGGTAATCAAAACAGATGAGCCGAAGCTCTATCCCGTTTGGGGGTAGAGAGAAAAATGAATGAATAAAAAAAAATATTTGAAAATGAAATTAGAGAAGTAAGGATCAATTTAATTGAAGATTTATTGTTCACTCGAAGTAAAGTTATAAGTGAAACTATCAATGATATAAGTCTAAAAGAGATCATTAAATTAATAAAAAATCATTGGCATATTGATAATATGAATAATTATTCGGAAAGTTTAAAAAAATTCATCTTAATTAAAAATAATATTTCTTTCGAAGAAGGGCTATTATTTTATAATGATAGAATCATCATTCCTGATAACTTAAAAAAAGAGGTTTTAATGTTATCCATCGAGAACATCCGGGGATAGTGGGGATGAAATCCTTATGCAGATACTATGTCTTTTGGACAAATCTCGATCGAGATGTTGAAGAATTCGTAAAAAACTGCAAAAGTTGTCAGGAAGGAAGACCGGGAGCCAGAGAAGTATCATTATACAATTGTAATATTCCTACCCGACCTTGAGAAAGAATACACATTGATTTGACAGGCCCCGTGTCTGGAAAGTACTGGTTAATTTGCGTAGACGCTTTCACCAAATGGGTTGAAGTTGCATAACACATATTAATTCGACGAGTGTAATAAATAATCTGCGTAATTATTTCGCTAGATTTGGTTTACCTCGTTACATTGTCTCAGATAACGATACTCAGTTTACTGGATCTGAATTCAAAACGTTTCTTTTTAAAAATAATAAAAAACATTTTAGATCGGCCCCTTATAGCCCCAAATCGAATGGTTTGGCTGAGCGCTATATACGTACGATAAAGACGCGTTTCTATGTTGGAAGGAGAAGTGGGACTCCGGACCAATTAAATTTAGCGAATGTTTTAATTACTCACCGAAATACTCCAAATGCAATTTACGGTAAATTCCCTGCCGAAATGATGTTTGGAAGGCCGCTCAGGAAGACGTTAGATCAATGGAAATTATCTACGAGAGAAAGGACTGAAAACGCGTTATGGAAACAAAAAAATATGATAGGAACATTGAGCCCCGTGAATTTAAAGGGAAGCAAAAGGTTTAGGTAAAAAACGAAAGGACTGCGGGATGGCATGAAGGAACAGTGGTTCAACGGAAAAGTGCGATATTGTATGATGTTAAGTCTGAGGTATTGTAAAAAACAAGCATGCCGACCAACTGAGGGAAGCTCACGTCATAGCTAAAGAAACCCATGACAATGACTGAGGATGACAATGACTGAGGATTTGGACATTGCAGAACATAATGGAAATACAACTCTAGAAAAAAGAGTTTCGAAACCCCCATTACGTTATTATGATGAATTCAAATTATAGTGGGGAGAACTGTAATGTATTTAAATAAACTGATTTTTTTATATTGGCTTAAAGCGACAATTTATTTACAATTTATAAAAATTGTTAAACATATATATATATATATTAATAGTTGATAATAAATGATTCTGATACCTTTTCATTAGCTTTACAATATGACCATTCTTGCCTAGCAATTAAAATAATTCTTCTTAGAGTCAAATTTAAAAATTATTAAATTTTTATATTTATGTTATAATAAATTTATATATAAAAATATTTTATATTAAATTGTTTTATATATTTAATTTTATACACAAATATGTTATTAAATGATATAAATAAATGTTAAGAAAAATTTAATTGATATATCCCTTAATCTATTAAATGAGAATTTGGACTCTAGTAAACTATGTTATTCAATGATATAAATCAGGCGCGTACGCAGGAATTTGGTTAGTGGGAGGAGGAAGGGATAATAAATTTTTTTAAGAAATATTATTGTTTTTTAAAAATATCAAGCATAAATTTATTAGGACTAATAACTATTTCTAATACGCAATTTTAAATTAATGTGAATTATAAAAAAATTATATGTAAAGAATCACTTAAATGACCCAAAATAGAAATTTGAATTTTTTAAGCCTTTATACAAAAAGTTTCTTAGGAAAAATTGTATTTTGTATGTTATATATTTACAATATAAAATCCAATCTTCGTTGGGATTGAGCTAATTTTTCAATTAACTCATCCTTGCTAGTCGTCAAATGCCTATGAATATTCTAAACAACCAAACCTTTCAATCTACTTTCAGATGTTAATTTTTTTAAATATACCTGGGCCTGGCCCAAAATTTTTTTTAAATAAAACAGCCTACATTTGAAATCGTTATTATTAGCTATAAAAATCAAATAAATAAAATTTATTTAAAAAAATCTGGGCTGGGCCTGAAAATTTTATTTAAAAAAAAGCCGGGCCAGGTCTGAAATTTTTTTTAAAAAAAGCCGAGCCGGGCCTAATTTTTTTAAAAAAGCCGGGCCGGGTCGTAAAAAACTTTAAAAGAATCCGGGCCGTGCCCTGCAAATGGTACTTCTGCAGGGCTCTGTTATTCTTCTTAAAAAAGAGAATGTTCTCTCATTAGTTTACTAATGGGAAGAGTTGCTAATATATATAAACCCTTTTAATACATTGGGAATTTCTAAAATGTGTTTGAAATAATGCAGAGCTCCATAGCATTTTTGGGACTATAACAACCATAGTTAATCTTATAAACTTAGTTATTCAGCTAGTAAGGCATCATTAGATACTTTAACATCTTCATAATAAATCTCTAACAAATATTTTTGTTAGAGATCACCATCTGAAAAAGGTTTGTAAGGCTATTGTGAAAGTATTATTTGCAGATTGGTAAGTGCTGCATGATGAATTAAGAATTCATTTATTTGGGTTATAAATGTATCTGTATCTAAGATATATTCTTCTACTGATCCTATTAATGTTTTAACGATGAGTTTGCCTTACTACAAATCGAGTGAGACAAATATTAAAAACGTATAGCTCTGCTTTTGACTCAACAATAAAATATAAAATATGAAATTCTTCATCAACATTAGCCATAATTTCCTTGAGTTCTGATAAAATGCTCTCCGCTATTCTCATCTTCTTATTCAAGTCAATGTCATGTTTTTGAAAAGTAATATTTTAAATTGTTGTATAATTAAATAATACATTCTGATGAGAAATAAAATTTGTAATAAGCATTGAATCCAATAATTGCTTCTGAGGAAATATTTCTTTCAGGCCATTGTGATATTTCAGTAATAGCAAATATTGGCTCTTCTAACTCCTTAAAAGCTGTTCTTGATGGCGGAGACTCTATCTCGTTGGACAAGGTTGCAATTTCTTTCTCCCTGTTGGACAAGAAGTTTCAAAAATAATTATTATTTGACTAGGAATTTGAAAATGGTAGATAAATATTACGCCACTAATTTGAAAATAATAAGTAAATACTATGCCGGAAAACTTGAAATCGAAATTAATTGATAAAATAACTTATGAATGTGATAACAAATGTAATTAAATATATATTTAATATGAGATAGGGAGAAATATTAACAAATATAAATTAATATAAACATTAATTTTTTTGAAAAATATATCCGGCATCAGCATTTTTTTGGCTTTAAAAGGGGTGGGGAATTTGTCCCCATGCCACCCCGCTGCGTACGCGCCTGCCGCATTACTTTTTTATCGTAAACCTATAAAAAGGTTTATAAAGGAAATCTAACTTTAAAATTACGCCACTGCTTCTCTTCCTTATAAAAATTAGTGTGCAAGGGTTCAATTATTAGTGTTTATTTTCAAATCTGATATTCATTCTTTCTTAACTGGTCTTATTTTGTATGATAAATTTCCATCTTTATGTGTCACTATATCCCATATGTTTTCCTTGAAAGTTTTATACCAAACTTTATAACCTATCTCAATATTTATATTTGACGATATTTTCCTTTTTAATTTATTAACTCTTCAAGTGGTTTAATTAACTTACATTTAATTTAAATTGTTCTTGAAAACATTGCTTGGTATCATATTACTCTTTTGGAATGTTTCGATAATTAAATAAGAACTTTTCTAAAGCTATAAAGTCTATTTTTTTTATGGTTTTCCATTATTCATTTCTTTTGAATAATTGACATAATTTTGACTTATTAACAGTTATGTCTTTTATATTTTATTTAACGAAATAATAATTATACAAGAAACTATAAATATTGATACAATTTTAATTTAATTCAAGGAATGAATTTGAAATGAAGTCACATGATTATATTTCCCGCTTCATTAACGATTTTATAATTTTCTTATCTTTACAATAAAAAATGGTATGTCATCCACCAATCATTTAAAATAATATTTATATTATTACTAGGCTGGAGGTAAAGCAGGCAAAGATTCTGGAAAAGTAAAATCGAAAGCTACTACAAGATCTGCAAGAGCTGGCCTTCAAGTAAAAATAAAAATGCATTAAATTTATGACATCAAAAATTTAAGTTTCCAGTAGGTAGAATACATAGGCATCTCAAAACTAGAACTACAAGTCATGGGCGAGTGGGTGCAACAGCAGCTGTATATAGTGCAGCAATCCTAGAATACCTCACTGCTGAGGTAAATCATTTAGTTTATAATCTTAAACTTAATCTTATTTAGGTATTAGAATTAGCTGGCAATGCTAGTAAAGATTTGAAAGTAAAAAGAATTACCCCAAGACATTTACAACTTGCAATTAGAGGAGATGAGGAATTAGATTCTTTAATTAAAGCAACTATTGCAGGAGGAGGTAAAAAATTTTTTTAATTACAATATTTATATATAATTTAGGTGTTATTCCTCATATTCATAAATCACTTATTGGCAAAAAGGGAATACAAAAAGTTCCATAATTTTTTTATAAATTAAGTATTTATGTTTTATTTAATCATTGTAAATTTTATATATTTAAATATACAAAGTGTTCAAATAGATATAGAATTGAATTTTTAAATGCTGTAATTATATGATCATTTATATTGTACATATTTTTAAAATAAAGATTTAAATTGTATAAAGATATCAATAGCTTATATTATTTATAAATAAATATATGTTTGAATTGATATGACAATTAACTAAACATTTTTTTTAAGATGGCTAATATTATTATTTTTTACAACTACAACTTGACCAATTTTATACATAAAAAATCAAACTGATCTTCACAAATCTGTTATTTTGAATTAGACTAATAGTCCTTGATGAAATAACAATTAAATAAAATAATAAATTTATTCACCATTTTATAGAAAATGATATTCCTAAATTTTAATTAGTGCTCTGCCAAATTTAATATAGGATTGGAACATATAGTTAATATTTTTTTAAAAAATTAATTATTAAATGAGCAAGAATTGAGGTTTTTGGCTGACCTCTTTAAATTTCAATAAAGAGTTGTTATATATATACAAAATTTTGCTCATTAGCAATTATATTTTGAGATAATTTCAAATGTTGAATATTGGGAAACATCTAAATTAATTTTGTTTATAAATATTGATCATCTTATCTCCAATTGAAAATTTTATATTTTCGAATATATTAGGAGTTCCAAAATTTTATCTTCTATTATTCTTACCATTTTTTGATATTTATTCAATATTGACTTGGTTTTTTAAAAAATAGAGCGTATAATGTATATGGAACCAGAGGTCTGCAAAGTGATATTTTTGTAACCTTAGACTGAATTTAGAATTTTTTTTGTTCAAGCCTGGTTCCGATCACACATTTTTAGTTCCAACTAGTGAAGGTCATGGACTGGACCAATACCCTCGGACCAGACCACGGTCCTTAAGAAAGTGATCAATCCAGACCTTGGTCCTAAATAAAAAAACTTTTTTTTTTAACCTAATTTAATTTGTTTTATCATTTTAATTTATCCAATGGTATTGAAGAAAGTGATTTTGTGCTTATGGAGATATTAAAATTAAGAGTAGATTGTGTTTAGATATTTTCATCATTAGAGGTATATATTTTAGGGAATGACTAAAATACGCGTCCCCAAAAACTACGCGTCCCCGGTCAAAACGATTTATTTTTATTAATATTAATAGGAAATCTTATTAAGCTTTATAAGATGAGTTAGAAAATGTTTTTTTTAATTTAAAAAAAATACGGTAACTATATAAAATTTACAAAAATTTATTTTTTTAAAAAATAAACTACGCGTCCCCGGTCAAAATACAGTTTTTTTTAAAAAATCAAAACGGATTCATATTTAGCTTATTAAAAGAATACAGAATATGTAAATATTATATTTTAAACTATTTTATAACTTATTTTTCAAAAAACACTTTTTTTTTCAAAAACACTACGCGTCCCCGGTCAAAAAACCTTTTTTTTAAAAAAATAATAGCAGATTCATGTTTAACTTTTTAAGGAGATTCAGAAAATGGTATTAATAAAAAAAAAATTAAAAAAAAATTTTTTTTTGGCTAAACTACGCGTCCCCGGTCAAAATACAGTTTTTTTAAAAAAATCAAAACGGATTCATATTTAGCTCATTAAAAGAATACAGAATATGTAAATATTATATATTAAACTATTTTATAACTTAGTGATTTTTTCAAAAAACACTTTTTTTTTCAAAAACACTACGCGTCCCCGGTCAAAAAACCTTTTTTTTTAAAAAATAAAAGCAGATTCATGTTTAGCTTTTCAAGGAGATTCAGAAAATGGTATTAATAAAAAAAATTTAAAAAAAAAAATTTTTCTAAAAATTTTTTTTTTGGCTAAACTACGCGTCCCCGGCCAAAATACAGTTTTTTTAAAAAAATCAAAACGGATTCATATTTAGCTCATTGAAAGAATACAGAATATGTAAATATTATATTTTAAACTATTTTATAACTTAGTGATTTTTTCAAAAAACACTTTTTTCGAAAACACTACGCGTCCCCGGTCAAAAAACCGTTTTTTTTAAAAAATAAAAGCAGATTCATGTTTAGCTTTTCAAGGAGATTCAGAATAATTTTGGTAGTTGAGAATTCAAATAAAATATTTAAAAAAGCCAATGTCTAGCCCATATTTAAAATTAAAAAATTTTCAAGGATATCTATTTTAAATTTTACCCAAGTTGATTTCTATCATAAATGTAAATTATGATATTTCTAATACCCTTACATTGCAACATTTTTACCTCTTTTTCTCCTAAATATTAATATTTTTATGAAATATATTAATAAAGCATATTTAGTATCGTATACATCTAACTAATTAGTAATTACCCATCAACCCCGTCATTCTGATTAAATTAAATTAATTTTATAAAAAAAATTTTTAATATATATATATACAAATATATCAAAATATAAAATTGACGGGGGGGCTCAATGGTTAGAACGTATGCCTTCCGAACGATAAGTTGCGAGTTCGAATCCCGTTTTGCCATAAAAAAATTTAAAAAAAATTTTTAACATTAGCGAGATAATAATAGCTCTCGATTTATTTAACATTAAGATGATAGGAAAGTTGATAGAAAAAAAAATTTTAACATTAGGAGATAGGAAAGTGAAATTAACGTTAAGAAGAAGTTGATAGAAAAAAATTAACATTACCAAGATACGAAAACGTTCATTTCTTGATTACATTTATAGATAGATGATATATATCATATTAAATCAATGTGTTAAAAAGCTAAAAAATCAAACAAAGTTGAGTGTTCTAAATCTGATTGATGAATTAGAAAATATTATAATTATAATTTATTTTTCATTTATGTTAGTAATAAGTTTTTTAAAATAACTTTCTAATCCTACATTAATAGTTAAAATTTATCATTTTATATGTTTTGTATATGGGAGACTGGGGTTAGGTCCCCGGGCTTGGCAAACCACTTAATCTCATTTCAAAATTAAATATCCTAATATAGTTTTTATTAGTTTACATCTGACAAAAAATCTTTTGAAATATTTAATTTATTAAAGATTTTATTTAAGAAATAAAATTTTGATGAAATTTTCAAAAAATTTTTACATGACAAAATTTTAATTTTTATTAAAATATATAATCATTTATATCTAAATTAAATTTTATAGTTAATTTTAAACACTCTTCTATAATTTGGAAAAGTTCAATGTGTATTTATTATATCTAGATAATATTTCAATCATAATTTGTCAATAATAAAATACCATTTATATTACATATTATTATATACAATCGTAATAGGTAAAAAAATGTAAATATTCGTTTGTTGTAAAATAATGTGGGTGTTTCAATCACGGTAGTCTTTATAGAATGTTGTTTCCGACGTATCACGATTTAGTTTTCCAATTTCAATCATTGACCAAACTATAATATGATGTTGTTTTCATCTTCGATATCTATTTATAGTTTATATAATAATATAATTTATTTATTTTTATATGCCTTTTTACCTTCAATAATTATAGTCAAAAATTTCAAATTATAGGACTTTAATAATTGGTAATATTTAAACTTAAAAATAACTATTTATATTGTTATTACAAAAAAATAATTGGATGCATTGTTCTAACTGTACAAACTTTCTCTAATATTAGCTAAACAATATTACATTATTTATACTATATTAATGATTTGTCCCGCTATTGCTTTTGATCTTATATTTAATATATTTTATAGTTATAATATTATGGTTTTAGCCATAAAAATATAAAAATTATTAATTTTAATATTTTTACGTTTCCGCTCTTAGCCACGTGGAGCAACCAGTTGAAAGAGCTTTTAGGTCTTTGTTTAAAAAAAATACCAAGACCATGGATATATAATATATATCCATGGTCTTGGTATTTTTTTAAACTAAGACCTAAAAGTAGATTATGACAAATAAATTTTTTGTTTAATATTTTTTTTTTAAATTAATGTAAACTTTTTAATATATTATATTTTGGTTATATTTCAGGTTTAAAATTTTAAACCTGTTATATATCCATGGTCTTGGTATTTTTTTTAAACTAAGACCTAAAAGCTCTTTCAACTGGTTGCCTCCACGTGGCTAAGAGCGGAAACGTAAAAATATTAAAATTAATAATTTTCATATTTTTATGGCTAAAACCATAATATTATAACTATAAAATATATTAATATATTAATATAGTATAAATAATGTAATATTGTTTAGCTAATATTAGAGAAAGTTTGTACAGTTAGAACAATGCTTCCAATTATTTTTTTGTAATAACAATATAAATAGTTATTTTTAAGTTTAAATATTACCAATTATTAAAGTCCTATAATTTGAAATTTTTGACTATAATTATTGAAGGTAAAAAGGCATATAAAAATAAATATATTATATTATTATATAAACTATAAATAGATATCGAAGATGAAAACAACATCATATTATAGTTTGGTCAATGATTGAAATTGGAAAACTAAATCGTGATACGTCGGAAACAACATTCTATAAAGACTACCGTGATTGAAACACCCACATTATTTTACAACAAACGAATATTTACATTTTTTTACCTATTACGATTGTATATAATAATATGTAATATAAATGGTATTTTATTATTGACAAATTATGATTGAAATATTATCTAGATATAATAAATACACATTGAACTTTTCCAAATTATAGAAGAGTGTTTAAAATTAACTATAAAATTTAATTTAGATATAAATGATTATATATTTTAATAAAAATTAAAATTTTGTCATGTAAAAATTTTTTGAAAATTTCATCAAAATTTTATTTCTTAAATAAAATCTTTAATAAATTAAATATTTCAAAAGATTTTTTGTCAGATGTAAACTAATAAAAACTATATTAGGATATTTAATTTTGAAATGAGATTAAGTGGTTTGCCAAGCCCGGGGTCCTAACCCCAGTCTCCCATATACAAAACATATAAAATGATAAATTTTAACTATTAATGTAAGATTAGAAAGTTATTTTAAAAAACTTATTATAACATAAATGAAAAATAAATTAATAATTATAATATTTTCTAATT